TTCCAGTGTAATTCACAAGAGTAGGTCAAAAATTAATTTTAAAAGTTTTAATAAAATTAACAAGTTTTTCTTTCTTTTATTTTCAGTTTTAATCCATAAAGTGAAGAAGACAAGGTGAAAATTTTGTCATTTTACTTTCTATTTTCCCACTCGTAATCGTCTTTCAAAATGACTTCTTCTCTGCACACACGTAGACAGTAAGTCGGTGCCATAGAATTTCTGTTTTTAAAAGGATAAATTACTGCTGCAAACTTTCACAGGTTGTTAGGGAAAGTTTATGAAAGGCTGCACTTGACACATGTTCAGTAAAGAGATTAGTCAATCCTTAAGAGAAAGAAGAAACTGACCACAGTGACTTGTTCCGCAATAGAAAGCCGGCTACTACTGTGAATGTTAATGAGACCAAATAAGTTGGTGTGCTTATTACTTCTGGAATAAGAAGCATTATTGCAAAAAAAATGAAAACATTCAGATAAGTTGGTGTAATTCATGAATTTTAGTGGAGCCTTCTGACTACTCAAACATCAGTACATTGTGGTTTCCCAGAATGAAGATTCCATGAAGGGGAAAATGGTGCTTGCTGCCTAAAAGGTTGTAAATATGCACAGCATAGCACTTCCTAAGTAATATATTCGCATCAATTGAGACCTGGGTTACCCACTATTAAGTAAACAACAAAAGATCAGTGGCATGATCTCACCCAGGTTAACACGGAAAAAAGTTGAAGACAGCACGTTCTGCAATGGAAACAGAAAGAAGTCACACTGTTATAGTTTTGTGATGTCAACAAATACTCGTTGTCACTTTCGTAATACACGTTGTAGTAGAGACTTTATAATCTCAGTTACAACGCCGTTGAACAATACTGGTGTCGGACGCTTCAAATAAAACTCGCTCTAATAGTACTTGCTCGATAATATTCACTCGATATCACCCGTATAGTGATCTGAATAGAGAAATATTATAGTGAATCGAGTAGAGAATAGTGGTCCGTATTTTAATAGATGACAGACTAGAAATGGTGATCCGTATAGTAATAGAGGATAGAATAGAAATGCGAACCGTAGAGTAATAGAGGATAGACTAGATAGGAGGATCGTTAGTCATCAGCTACTTCCTACATATATGCGTTTCCCCTATGTTCACATAGTCTGCTCAATTCAATAATGGGATCGCCTGTATTAGATAAGTGGCGATCTATGTTCAAATTCAAGTGTTGGTAGCAACACTTTATTCCTATATAAAATATAGTTTATGAACAATGGTATCATTCTTAATTCTGACTTCTACATAAACACATTCAGAGAAAATGCTTCTTCGTGCTAGACCATATTTGAATGTGCGAGTCGTGATTATGACAGTGTAAACTCTCACAGAGTTTTAAAAACAAACAAGCAATGACAGAGAATCGCTGAACAACTTTGTTTCCTGGACTAAATAGAATTTACTTGGCACCATCAGACTTTCATTTGTTTGGTTCTATGAAGCAGGCACTCAGAGGACAATGCATAACTCGCACATGGCTAAGACTGCAACCAAAAAGCTTCGAAGAGGCAGGATTACAGCTCATTCGATATTTGAATACTATAATTGAGAAAAGGAGACAATTCTAAAATGTCTGTGTTCATTTTGTTATTCTACAAGTGTTTCTACTGTGAAATATGTTATAATTAAAGAAGGGTCATTTCTTTTTGACCGACACTCACCAAAAATGGCAAATTGTTATTTTTCCCTTTTACATATTTTATTTGCTTATGTACTATTGTTCAGCCACGTACACAGGGAATAGTCGCTTTATCAAGACTAAAAATAACAATGAGCCCAACTATTTCAACATATCTATAGAAAGAGTTCATGCCTTTTTAAAGACATTCAGACAAAACTGAAAGTAACAGCCTGCGTCAGAATTTGGCACTATTAAATATTTTTAGATCTTGTATTCAGGTAAATACTTCCTGTATTTGCAGTAATTTAGAAAAAATTAGAAGCAGACCACAAACAAGGTAATACAGCCACTAAGACGCAATTGGGTTGCTGAGTGTGAGAGAATATAAGAAAAACTACTATTAAGGAGGGAGGACAATAAAAGAACAAGAATTAAGAAGACAGACCATAACAATTGACATTGCAATTATTTTTTTATAGATCAAAGTTGACTGGGAAGTAAGAAGCTTAAAGAGAGTTCCACAAGCGAGAAGTGTGATAGAATAAATTATTAGCGTAGAACGTACGGTTACATCTAGCCATTTCAACTGTAAAATGATTTCCACCAATCTAGTACTGTACCATAGCCGAAAGAACAATTAACATGAAAGTGTTTATAGAAAAGGAAGCTACGTATATATATATATATATATATATATATATATATATATATATATATATATATATATATATATATATATATATATATATATATAATATAGAAACCTAGAAGCCAGACAAACCTACCAGGTTTCACCTAAGCGGATCGTCAGGGCCAGCCTTCCCTGACGATCCGATTAGGAAAAACCTTAAATCAAAATCCTCTAGATTTAGCTAGGTCTGCTCTACTTACTGTATCAAGCACTTTATTTAGTTATTTTGCCTACTCGTATCGGTTTTCTTTTTCTTTGGGCTTTGGACTTGCATGCTAGACGATTATTTTCGGCTAGCGTACATGTTCTTGGTTCTTTCTTTTTTATATACCTTTTTTTCCCTTTGGTATTGGTTTGATTATTTGCAAATCAAAACACTGAATATTTTCCGAACGAGTATAATTTCTTATACTTTTAAGATTACTACTACTACTAATATATATATATATATATATATATATATATATATATATATATACTATTGTCCACCTTAAACAAGCCTCAAGAGCCACTCAAGGTAAAAGGTTACCGAATAAAATTGTTGCAAGAGCACGCGAGAAATAAGTAATAAGTGCATATTAATAGGATAGATAACGATTGGCCCTAGACTTGAAGTGGTTAAGATCGAAGTGATCGGGGAAGCATCCACTCAGGAGAATTTGTGCTGATGGTATCATTTTCAGCAACTCGACAAGAGAAATCGGTGAGCAGATTTCAAATTCCAGCCGAGACCCTTACATAAACTTTCGTGCAAATAACCTTGGGAAACATATGAAGCCATCTCTTTTTCACACTCATCTCCCAGCTATGCTTTAAATAGCAAGGCAGACTGGGCTATCTATCCGTGGTTGGCAACTATCTTAGAAGAAAGCTAGACCTGGCGTAGCGCATAATATGAGGCTATCATAGAATTCACAATGAGCCTATAACTTCGACAGCGTTCGAGCTATGATAGCGGTCGTTGTATTCTTATTTGTGTACGTTATGTTCCTGCTTTTTATCCAGTAGAGCTGGGTTCAAACTATAGCCATTAGGTCTTATAGAAGAATTGTTACTTAACTGAGAGCACTTTTCTTAGTATATGGGATGTTCCTAGTAGGGCTATCTTCTGGGCAACTTGTATGTTGATGTTACCTGGGACACTTTTAGTAAAATTGTCCATTCCTTTTCTCACATGACCCAGAGTTTCGATTGCTATTGGTACAGTCTCAGCCTTCATTCCCCACATCCTGTTAATCTCACTTTCCAGGTCCCTGTATTTAGACAATTTCTCAGTAATTTTCATCCAGGTTTTTCCCTCGGATGGTACTGCTATGTCAAAAGCATACATCATGTCATGTCTTTTATAATATCTGGTCTGATGGCTTTTATTTTCCTGTCAGTTTGAATTGGCATGCCCCAGAGGATAGTTACATCGTAATTTTCGGTAATTGTGTCTGGTTGGTGGTCATACCACCTCTCAGTGGTTTCTTGAATATTTCCTAGTGTACATATGCCGCTACCTTGTTATTTCACTGGATATATTCATTTTTTGCTAGTTCCAGACATCCGGAGATAATATGGTCGACAGTTTCTGCCTATTTTTCCGCATATCCTGCATGATATCGTATATTATTATTATTATTATTGTTATTATTATTATTATTATTGTTGTTGTTGTTGTTATTATTATTATTATTATTATAATTATTATTATTGTTGTTGTTGTTGTTATTATTATTATAATTATTATTGTTGTTGTTATTATTATTATTATTATTGTAAGGCAGGTATTATTATTATTATAATTATTATTAATTATTTTTTTTTTTTTTTTTTTTTTTATTCCGATAATTTGCTATTATTGTTGTTCTCCTTGTGTGTGTGTATTATTAAGACAATTTTCTATTCTTAAGTTATTATTTTATTTCTTTCAATGTATTGTTTTGTTGTTGTTTCCAAGTGTTATTACCACTTATTATTCTTGTTTTTAATTTCCACATTTTTTTATTTCAATTTCCATCTTTGTATTTTTATAATTTTCAATTCCTTGGTTGTTGTTATTCCGCTGGACAATAATTAATTATTATTGTTTTCTTTTATTTTTATTAATAATTATTATTTGCTTCAATTTTCTGTCTGTTGGATTAATCCCATAGAATGGTGACATCTTCTATTTCTTATTATTATTATTATTATTGTTGTTGTTATTATTATTATTATTATAATTATTATTATTCTTGTTGTTATTATTATTATTATTATTATTATTATTGTTATTATTATTATTATTATTATTATTATTGTTGTTGTTTTGTTATTATTATTATTATTTTATAATTATTATTATTCGATTTCTGTTATTATTATTATTATTATTATTAGTTATTATTATTGTTGTTGTTATTATAAATTATTATTATTGTGTTATTATTATTATAATTATTATTATTTTTTTTTTTTTTTTTTTATCTTGATTGTTGTTTGTTATTATTATTATTATTATAAAGTTCTTATTGTTGTTGTTATTATTATTAATAAGACATTATTTTGTTATATGTCTATTATAATTATTATTGTTTATTATTATTATTATTTTATTATTATTGTTGTTTTGTTCCATTTTTATAATTATTATTATTATTACCACTGGTATTATTATTA